GATGCAAACTAAAACCTTTGGACACTGCGGTGAGAATCGTACTACTGAGTCACAGCTGACAGTTTAGAGAAACTCTGGTGAGACATTTGTCCATGTGAAAAATACATAAACAGTGCTGCCAAAGCGGAACCAACACAAAGTGCTGACTAGTTACTGTTCCTGGTCTGCTGCAGGACAGAACCCATCAGTAGTGGGGCTGCTTGTCCACTCATCTGATTGAGTGCAGAATCTTGGCCTGGCCTGACAGCCGCACTGGCACTGCCCTGTCATTTACCAGCTGAGTTGTTCTCCGTAATGGAAAGCTGCATTACTTACGCCAAACTTAATTTGAGCTTCTACTTCTGAGTCTGCAGCAGTCACACCTTAGCGAGTGTTCCTATTAGTTAGGCATTAAGAGGGATAACTCTGTCCTTTACCTTTTCCCCTGTCTTCCCCTTCACTCAGTGCTGAGATCAAGACTGGTATGTGGATTTGTAGATGTTTGTCTAAACTGTGTCCCTTGGTCCCACTTCTGTCACTGCTTGGATAAGCCTGTTGCTAAGGAAAGGCAGCATCGATTTTTGTACGTGGTTGAATTTACATGGTATGCTTGCATTTGTACAATGTCAGTTACTGTAGCTGCTCTCTTAGTTAGAGGGACAGAAGTGCTGGCAGCAGCAGAAAAGAGAGAAGAGATAGACTTTGGTGCCTGGGTTTCCACTTCATTTTCTCTCTCTCTCCATTTCAGGATCGTGACAATGCTCAAAGTTCCTGTGCAGGTCTCTTCATCGGTGCTCACATTGGATTTGATTGGCCTGGCGTCTGGGTGCATGTAGACATTGCTTCCCCTGTACACACTGTGAGTACATGAGATTGGGGAACTTTCGATATAGGGGAAGGATTTCTGGGTACAGGAAGAGTTCATGCTAGAGTAGTTGCCAGCAGTATGTGTGTGGATTTTGTGATGGAGGAAGGGAAGAATTTGAGGCTTAGGTGACTAGCTGGAGGGAATTTTTTTATTGTGAACTGCCCCTTGCAATGAGAAAATAAAGTAATGTGTGAGCTAACAGCATTATCTGATCAGTAACACTAGCTTGAAGACCGAGCTTAAGCAGGTAATGATCTACTGGAAGCTGAACGTACAAGGCCACTTGATGGAGAATGGGTGAATATTGTGTCAGTCTGCAACCCATCATCTCTACCAAGTTTTACTGGCCCTTTTAAAATAAAGTGGGAGAGTAATTGAAAATTTGTTAAATTAATCATCTACCTGCTAGGATGTGTTGTGCTCCTCCGACCCCTTCATTTCTTGTACACCTGCCTTTATTTTGAATAGTTCCCCTCATACAATGATTTGCAATATTAATTAATTCATTATTTTAAACCACGCTCATGTATTTTTTCTTAATTTTCCTTGTCATTTTCACTTTTTTCCCTTCTTTAGCCCCTTACCTGATCTCTCCCTCATTCACTGCCTTTCTTTCTGTACTTGAATATCCCTTTCCTTCTGACTCATGACTCACTGCACTTTGGAAATCAGACTTGCATCAGAAAGGGTGTTTATTCACACATGTGAAATGTTTGCCTTTCATAAAAACATGAGAAATAGGAGCAGGAGTCAGCCGTTCAATTGCTGAAGTATGCTCTGCTATCCAGCAAGATCATGGTGGGCTTAAGTCAATTTTAGCCCCCTGTCTCAATTTTACCCCCCCCTCCACCGTCTCCTTTACAGATCAAAAATTAGTCTAATTCAATCTTGAATATATTCAATGGCCCAATGCCTGCTGCTCTCTCGAGTGGGAAATTCCAAAGTTTAATGATATTTCTGAGAGAAAGAAATTCTTCCTTGTTGTTGGAAGTGGAACACCTGTCATTTTGAGAACCAAGTGATGCCATCAGACACCTGCAGGCACTGCATGGGTTAAGTACACAATAAATCTTTCTCTACACTGTCCCATCAGGCATCCCCTGTTTAATTTGGAATCAAAATGTACCTCCCCCTACACTGTCCTAACAAGATGCCTCAATTCACGACTCAAGATTTGTACCCACCTTGCACATCAGTGGCATGTTTGAGTGAAATTGTCAGGCTAATGCTGAAAACAGCAGTCCTTGTCCATTAGAATCTATATTGAGACTGGCCAAACTCTTTCAAAGACGGACAAAGGGCCTAGTGTCCAATCACTATACCGCCCAGCTTACCTTTGAATCCCTCAAAGTGTTAAGATTAATTATTTCCAAAGCTCACCGATGTTTTTCACTAATTTTGTAAGGAAAATGTAAAGGTAAAAGCATTGGTAAGTTCCTGAAACTAGTAACGGGCCAGTTATTAAATGGTACACTGTATAAATGATGTAATACTTGTTTACTTTGTGTGCAGGGTGAGCGAGCAACCGGCTTTGGGGTGGCTTTCCTGTTGGCTCTGTTTGGCCGTGCTTCCAAAGACCCCATGCTGAACCTAGTGTCCCCTCTAGGTGCTGGCACAGACCAACACTATGCGACGAGCGAGGGAGACGGTGGCTTGTCCAAACGTAGGAGGCTGGTGTAAGATGGAGGGTAGCTGTGCACACAGTTAAATCACTGATGTAATAAGTCAATCAATCGCCAATCCAACCATCCAGGTATAACGAGTCTCATGTGGAAGCGGGGATCGCAGTCTCTCTCAAGGGGACTGTTGGCTTGTTACTTTGATGGAGTTTACAAGCAGCATTAGCCAGAGGCTCAAACCTCGTGTGAGGGCATCACTGAAGTCTTGGCATTACTTCAGATTCAAGCTTTAAGATATCCTTTGAGTCCATGTCTCTTCAAAATGTATCCAAATTGTATAAAGTCTCACTTTCCTTCTGTCAGCATTTAGTAACAAGTAATAAAATGGAATCCATAGAGAACCGTCATCAAATACCCAGGAGAGTGGGCGCACACATGGCTTTACTGCAGTGGTGGGGATGTGGTCTCGGTACAGCAGGGGCAATGAGAATTGCTATACTAAATGGTTTTATTCTTTTATAAAGACATTCTCTGTTTGACTGAATGTATCGAACAGATTGGAATGCTTGATCTTATTAAATCATTTTGCACAAGTTTCCTTTTATCTACCTGTCCTTTTTTATTTTGTCGTTGTATCAGCTTTCGTAATGGTTGTTTTGATTTTAAGTAATCCTTGTTATCCCAAGCTTACGTTTTCTGAACTAGATGTATAGAATCACCAGTGTGGAACAGGCCCAAGGCCTTGTTAAAGGAAGTTAATTCAACATTACTGACATTAAATTCAGTCAGAGACACTCCCATAACAGGCACAGTATGGGTTATTTATACAGTGTATCCCTATGCTTCACTTACTGTTTATACCTTACAACAGTGAATGTGACAAAACAGAAATTGCTGGAAAATCAGTTGACTTTTTGTGTCCAGTGACGACTCTTCAGAACTGATATTAGCTAGAAAACAGTTCGTTTTTATGCAGAAGCTAGGGTGTGGGGAGGGGCTAAGGAGTAAACGGTAGGCAGAGATAGAGCGCAAAGAGAGAGAACAACAGTTGGACAGGCAAAGGAGTGGATACCAGTCCGCCTAGGAGAGTGACTGGCTGTTGATGGGGACTATTAGTGGCTAATAATGTGTAATAGCAGCTCATGTGATAACAAGGCCTGGTGTGTGGAGGTTGGGATAAGGACATGGGAGAAGGTGCCCCAAAGCCTAAAACTGTTTAGACTCAAAATTGAGTTCGAGGGCTGTGGAGTTCCCAAGTAGAAAATAAGGTGCTGTTCTTCCAACTTGCACTGAGCGTTGTTGGAGAGCACTGCAGTAAGTCTGAGACAGAGATGTTGACCAGAAAACATGGTGGTGTGTTGAAGTGGCAGGCAACTGGAAGCTCAGGATCTTTTTTGCAGTGTTCTGAGAAGCACTCACCCAGTCTATGTTTCCTTTCCCCAATGTAGAAGGGACCACATTGTGAGCAGTGAATACAGTAGACTAGATTGATTGAAGTGCAGATAAAGTGCTGCTTCAGCTAGATGGTCTGTTTGGGCCCTTGTATACTAAGGAGGGAGGAGGTATTTGGGCAGATGTTATTGAACCTATATTGAACCCATATTCTCTTTCAAACTGGCTGTGCAAGGTCAAAAATCCTGCAGTGCTGACAGCACTCAGTTTAAACTAAGTCATGACATCATTTGCCAAATGTATTAAGTTCTCAGAAATATAATATGTGTTGACATTGCTTCTAATTTGATTTGATCCTCTTCTAGGAAGCAAAAGAAGCACACTGTTTGTTATTCTTTTGGAGCGTAATTCCCAACCTGGTTTGTGCAGCATGACAGTTCTATAAAAGCTGCATATTGTTGAACTTTGATTACCTGATTCTGCTCTGAAAGCACTGGTGTTGAGACCTCTCTGAAAAGCATTGAGTAAGGTGGAGAATTGTAGTGTCTGTGGCTGTCACTTGTGATAGGACACCTGAGGAAGGGGCTGAGTTTCCAAAAAGTTTGCGTTTTCAAATAAACCTGTTGGACTATAACCTGATGTGTGATTTTTGACCTTGTCCACCCCAGTCCAACACCGGCCCAACACCGGCATCGCCACATCATTGTGATAGGACAGCCACTGCTATTTTCCCTGATCCACCGGCTGTTCCTTTAAGCCCGCCCACTCAACTGGGGTAGGAAGAAGGTGTGTTTCCATGTAAGTACCCAAGTCTGTGAGAATGAATAATTAGGAGAATCCTGTGAAAATACCCCAGTGTTAGCCATCAAATATAATGTCAGCAAAACCCAGGTTTCTCCCAGAGGAAAAGTCGTCAGTGTTTAAATGAACTGTGCATCAGTGGGGAAACTCTTTTACCCACCTTTCTCTTCACTGACCTATTCTGCTTTCCTTTCTGCTTTGTATCTCAAATCAGTGTTTGAAAGTAACACAGCTCGAGTGAGTAGTAGCAAGGGCCCTAGTTGTTTGTCATTCTTAAGACAACTGCAGATGAGAAGATAAAGTGCCAATGACAGCATGTTTTCAGCTGAACCAATACTCACAGTAGATGTTGATGGTCTTCTGCAGTTCGAACGCTTCCTGTTCTTAATTTCTAAACAGCATTTGATACTTGAAGCGGAAGTTAGTACAAGCTGTGAAATTGCACATTTGATAGGACCAGGAATTCAATTATTGTCTTTTTAGCAATGTGTCAGTTATGCAGTAATTCTGCAGCTAGTGCCTATCACTTAGTACTGCTGAGGTATATAATTGTGTAAAAAGTTCAAATTCAATACATTGCAGGAAGAATAAACATGCAGACTTTCTGTCTCGGTGAGGGAGCTGTTAAAAAGAGTTCGATGGAATCCAAGGCTGCCATGTGGTTTCCTGAGGTTAATGTTGAATGGATACACCCTTTCCTGGGTGTAAAGAATGTTTAATTTCTCATTATTATCATTCACTCTTGCTTCTCACGGGTCCACTTGATTATGGTCTCAGGAGAGCGGTAAAGGAAGATGAGTTTGGCAAAAAGCTGCTCTTCGAGTTCTAACTCGCCCATCTCACGCACGAGGAAGATGTCAGTGCACAGCTTCAAGATTCTATCAGGATTGGGCAGCTCCTCAAACATGATGGAGCGAGAGATACCTTTGAAGAATTCTCGAACAAACTTTCCAATGACCAATACCACAGACAGATACAGACCGATGATCCTGAGGAGGAAATGAGAAAAAAAAAAGCTTAAATTTTAGGAAAAGAACAGCTGTTATTAGTAAGCTGCACCATATCTAAACTATTTTCCCAGACTATCTTTAAAGCATGGAGGAGCAAGAAGTCTTAAAGTGTGTTCAGGAGCATTTTCTGCACCAGTTATGTTTCCAGGCCGTTTCAAAAGGTGATATTGCTGAATCTCCATGCGTCACTGGGGTTGCAATTAGGTGTTAGTGATCATTGTACCATGAGGTTCAGGTTAGCTATGGAAAAGGACAAAGAACAACAATGAGTAGGAATCATTTAAGTGTGGGAAAACTAACCAGTAGAACAACAGATCTAGGCTGACTAAATTGAAGTTGGAGGTTGGCAGTAAAAACTGAAAAATAAATTATTTCAAAGCGAAGATTCAGGTACAGTGAGCTACATTCCCTTGAAAGGGAAAGGTTGGCAAACATCCAGTGGAAATAAAAGTTAAGACAAAGAAAAATGTGCGTATCACATCTGTCAGGTAGAAAATACAATTGACAACCAGGCTGAATATAGGGAGGCTCAGAAGAGAGTCATAGAAATGTAGAGCATGGAAACAGACCCTGCACTCCAACTCAACCATGTCAACCAGATAGTCTGCGTTGATCAAGTCCCATGTGCCATCATTTGACCCATGTTGCTCTAATCCTTCCTATTCATATACACATCCAGGTGCCTTTTAAATGTTGTAATCGGGTAGAGAAGCAAAGAGGAATAATGAAAAGAGATTAGCAGCTAACATAAAGAGGGATCCCAAGATCCTGTACAGGAATATAAATTGTATGTATATTTATTTTGTACAAAGTGTGGTTATAGGTTTGGGCCAATTGGGAGCTTGCACATAGAGAAAGGGGGCATAGCTGAAACGTTAAATAAATACTTCGCATCTCTCTTTACCAAGGAAGAGGAAGTAATTCAGATACTGGATTTTATTTTAAAGAAATGGAAGAGGAGGAGGCACTGTATGTGCTTAAAGTTGACAAAGCGTCAGGACCAGATGAGCAGTATCCAGGGTTAGTGAGGGAACTGTGAATGGAAATTACAGTGTCACTGTCCATAATTTTTCAGTCTTCCTTAGATTAAGCTGTGGTGCAAGAGGACTGCCGAACTGTAATCATTATATCCTTGTTCAAAAAAGGTAAGTCCAACAACTGCATTCCAGTCAGTTTTATCTACAATGGCAGGGATGCTTCCAAAAATAACAATTTGAGACCAAATTAACATACATGTGGACAAACGTGAGTTAATTAAAAGAAAGCCAGCATGGATGTTTTAAACATAAATCAGACTTAACTTACTTGCTGGAGTCTTTTGAACAGGTCTATGTGGTGTGCATACCATTCCAAAAGGTGTTTCTTACAGTAACATGCAACAGACTTGTGAGCAAAATTAGTGCTCATGGAATAAGAGACAGTAGCAACATGGACACAGCAATGGCTGAGTGACAGCAAACAGTAATGGCTAATGGATATCTTTTGGGCTGGAGGAAGTTTCGTTCTGGAGTTACCCCAGGAGTTATTGGTGGAACCCTTACTTTTCCTGATATATATTAATGACCAAGGTTTTGGTGTACAGGGCACAATTGTAAAGTATGGTACAAAACCTGGAAGCATTGTAAACAATGAGGAAAATGTGGAATTTCAAAGGGATGTTGACATGGTGGATGGCTGAATAAAGGACAGAAGAAGTTCAGTGCAGAAAGTGTGAGATGATTAATTTGGATAGGGAGAATATGGAGAGACAGTATAATGGGTACAATTCTAAAGGGAGTGCAGAAGTAGAGGAATGTGGATGTATGTCTGCATAAATCACTGAAGGTAGCAGGACAGATTGAGAGTGCAGTTCATAAAGTATACAGTACCCTTACCTTTATTAATAGGGGTACAGAATACAAGAGCAAGAAGGTGATGTTGAGCTTGTACTTATTCAGCTCAACTGGTCTGGGCATTGCATTGTAGGAAGGATGTGAAGGTATTGGAGAAGGTGCAGAAAGATTCATGAGAATGGTTCCAAGGCTGAGGAACTTCATTATGGAGATAGATTGGAGAAGTTAGAACTATTTGAAAAGCATTACCTGAGAATGTGGTACAAGTGGGATCAAGTGAAGCTTTCAAAAGGGAATTTGGCAGTTATCTGAGAAGGAGCGATGTGCAGGGTTATGGGGAGAAGACAGAGGATGACACTAGGTGAAATGCTTATTGGGAGAGCTGGTGCAAGCATAATGAGCTGAATGGTCTCTTGTGCTGTAAAAATCCTGAGATTACTAATTGATCCTGTAACTGCTTGATAGCAAACCAGCTATCACATCAAGTCCTGTGTTACTGATCATACCTGTAACATTGGACACAAAAACAGAAGTTGCTGGAAAAGCTCAGCAGATCTGGCAGCCAGACCTGCTGAGCTTTTCCAGCAACTTCTGTTTTTGTTCCTGATTTACAGTATCCACAGAGATAGTAGGAACTGCAGATGCTGGAGAATCTGAGATAACAAGGTGTAGAGCTGGATGAACACAGCAGGCCAAGCAGCATCAGAGGAGAAGGAAGGCTGACGTTTCGGGCCTAGACCTTTCTTCAGAAAGGAGGATCTAGGCCCGAAACGTCAGCCTTCCTGCTCCCCTACAGTATCCACAGTCCTTTTGATTTTTATACCTGTAACACTGTTGGGAATGTTATTCATAACTTTATAGGCAGTTGTAAACACAGACGATAGGAGCATGGGAAAGCCATTTAGCCTTTTGAAACTGCTCCACCATTCACTATGATCATGGCTGATCATTGAACTCAATAGCCTGTTCCCACTTTTCCTCCATATCCTTTAATCTGTGGTGGCAAATTCCACAGCTTTATCACTTTCTGGGTGAAGACATTTTCCTCATCTCAGTTGTAAATGGTTTACTATTTCCTTAGATTGTGACACCTGGATCTGGATTTCCCTGCCATTGGGAACATCCTTTCTGCGTCTACACTGTGTAGTCCTGTTAGAATTTCATAGGTTTCTGTGAGACTTCCCCAACTCCCCAGCCCCCCATTCTTCTGAACTCCAGTGAATATAATCTTAACCAAATCTACCTCTATTTATACATCAGTCCTGCCATCCCAGGAATTAGTCTGGTAAACCTTCACTGCACTCTCTCTTTAGCATGAACATCCTTCCTCACCGAGGAGACCAAAACTGCACACAGTATTCTTCCAGGTGTGGTCACACCAAGGCCCTATATAATTGCAGCAAGACATCCTGCATCTTAACTCTAGTCCTCTTACTGTGAAGACCATTTGCCTTTTTCACTGTCTGTAGCGTCTGCATACTTACTTTCAATGACTGGTGCACGAGGACACCCAGGTTTCATTGCACATTCCCCTCTCTCAAATTTATAGCCATTCAGAAAATCTGCCTTTCTGTTTGGCTACCAAAGTGGATAACCTCACATTTATCCACTGCATCTGCCATACATTTGCATCTCTGCATCCTCCCCACAGCTCGCCTTTCCACCCAACTTTGTGTCGTCTGCAAATTTGGAGATATTACGTTTGGTTTCCTTATCCAAATCATTAATGTGTAATCACGAATAGCTGGAGTCCTAGCACTAATCCCTGCAGTACCCCATTGTCATTTGGAAAAAGACCAGTTTAGTCCTACTCTTTGTTTCCTGTCTGCTAACCAGTTTTCTATTCATCTCAATACACTACCCCCATTCCCATGCATTTTAGCTGTACACGCTAAGCTCTTGTGGTATTTTGTCAAAAGATTTCTGAAAATACAAATAGACTACATCCACTGGTTCCCCATCATCAACTTTACTAGTTACATCCTCAAAAGATTTCAATGGATTTGTCCATAAGACATAGGAGCAGAAATTATGCCATTCAACCCATCCGGTCTACTCCACCATTCAATCATGGTGATAAGTTTCTCAACCTCATTCTCCCGCTTTCTCCCTGTAACCCTTGATCCTCTTGACAATCAAGAACCTATCTATCTCCATCTTAAATGTACTCAATGACGTGGCCTCCACAGCCTTCTGTGGCAGTGAATTCCATAGATTCACCGCTCTCTGTATGAAGAAGTTTCTCCTTATCTCCGTTCTAAAAGGTCTTCCCTTTATTCTAAGGCTGTGCCCTTGGGTCCTAGTCTCCCCTACCAATGGAAGCATCAATTTCCCCGATACCATTTAACCATGTGCTCCCCAACATTTCTCATGTTATTTGTGTCTTCCTTTGTGAATACAGGACCAAAGCATGTATTTCATTGATCAGCCATCTCTGATGAGGAATTCTATCGTATTATGGTCATTCATTAATCCCTGTTGTAGTAATCAGAGACAAAAACTGCTGATGCTAGAATCCAAGGTAGATAAATAGTGGGCTGGAAGAACACAGCAAGGCCAGAACACAGCATTTGGAGGAAAGGAGTCAATGTTTCGGGTATTATCCTTCTTCAGGACTGAAACATTGACTCCTTTCCTCCAAATGCTGCCTGGCTTGCTGTGTTCTTCCAGCCTCCTGTCTGTCTACACATTGTAGTAATGTTATGGTGAGTTTGGTGTTGGTAATACAATTCATATTTCCGATTCAAGCACAGAATGTAATTTGGGCTAGCACAGGAAAACAGAAACAGTGGCACACTGGTAATGTCACTAGACTAGTAATCCAGAGACCCAGGCTAATGCTCTGGGGAAATGGATTCAAATCTCACTACAGGATCTGATGGAGTTTAAATTAATAAAATCTGGAATTGAAAACTAGTCTATGAAACTATCATTGATTGTCCTTAAAAACAAAAACCATGTAGTTCACTAATGCCCTTTAAAGAAATAAATCTGCTTATGTATCCCACCTAATGTGACTGACTCAGAATAGACTGCCAAAATGGCATCGCAAGCAGTTCGAGGGTGATTAGGATAGGCCATCAAAGCTGCGGTTGACAGCAATGCTCACATCCAACGGAAGAATAAAAGACCATCAGCCCTTTCTGTTAACATTTCTGTTTTATATTCTTACATCCACATTTAGAATGGAATGTCTCTGTGTAATGTTTCTGCCTTTGGAGCCCAGGGACTCCACTGGTTAGAATTTCAGGGTTGCATGAGGACACTCCAGATGCCCATTCTCTTACGTTGTATGGGCTGGAGATGATGTAGAGTCTGTTCCACTGCAGGAAAGTGGCTAGGCAAAGAAATTCACCAAAGATCCTCAGACAGCACCTTCCAAACCATCAACCACTTCCATCTAGAAGGACAAGGGCAGTAGGTATATTGGAACACCACCACTTGCAAGCTGCCCTCCAGGACACACCATCCTGATTTGGAAATATATCGCCGTTCCTTCACTGTGGCTGGGTCAAAATCCTGGAATTCCCTCTCTAAGGGACATTGTGCGTCAACCCACAGCACACGAACTGCAGCGATTCAAGAAGGCAGCTCACCACCACCTTCTCAAGGGGGCAACTAGCGACAAGCAATGAATGCTGGGCCCAGCCTGCGACACCCACATCCCACAAGTGAATTGAAAAAGAGCAAGGGTCACCTGACCAGAAACGTTAACTCTGTTTTCTCCTTCACAGATGCTGCCAGACCTGCTGAGCTTTTCCAGCAACTTTGTTTTTGTTCCTGATTTACAGCATTCGCAGTTCTTTTGGTTTTTAGAAAAGAGCAAACCCTGCCGGAAGAAGGTTCTAGGTCATTGCCCTGGCCCTACCCCACTCATGGACTGCAGAAGTACCAGGAACTAGAGTGGCCTTGACGGTAGGCCAGGCACCAACTGATCAATAAAAACCCATCTTCCATATTTCCATTTCTACCTAGTTTTAGGTTTCTTCCAAAATTAAGCCAGATCATTGTACGCTCTTCCAACACTACCACACCCGAGATACCTAACATGACCAAGCAGCAGTTCTACCAAATGTGAGACATGAAAGTTAAATGGCCTGCACAGGACAGTGGGTGATTTGGTGGTAACATCATGCACACTTTTCCATGTCACAGGTACATCCTGCATCACACCTTGTTCCACAAGGGACGTGTTTGCATCATAGTGTAATGGGGGCAGGTGGAGGGGGCTACAGGTATTACTGGAAGTAAGACACAAGGTGTAATCGGTAATGTATCCTGCAAAGGAAATTCCCTATGTTTTTTCAAACAGTGCAGCCGTCTCACACAAAGTGATCTTAAAAGGGAAAGAGAGCCCACCTCTGACCTACAGGCTCACATTTTCAACCATTTTTTAAAATTCATTCACAGGATGAGGGCGTTGCAGGCTAGGCAGCATTTATTGCCCATCTCTAGTTGCCCACTGGGCAATTAAGAGGCAACCACATTGCTGTGGGTCTGGAGTCACATATAGGCCAGACCAGGTAGGATGGCAGTTTCCTTCCCTAACGGACATTAGTGAACCAGATGGGTTTTTCCTGATAATTGAGAATGGGTTCATGGTCATCACTAGACTCTTAATTCCACATTTTTTTTGAGACCTAATCAATTTGGATTCCAATGAAGGTGTCTTGTTAAAAAGACAGACCAAGTTGACGCCTAAAACATTGATGTTCTGACTACCCATGAGCAAGACCACAGGAGATCCATTAGAAGTTAAAAGGCATTTGGATTCCACTCATATTGGTGCCAAGTGTACAATCAGCATTTAATTAGCTTCATAAAAGCTAATAATACACGTAGTGAATCTGTATGATAACTATGGATAGCACAGGCAGAGAGACAGAGGGCAAGGTCATAAGTCATACAGGCATTGAGAGATTGGTACCAACAAATTGGCTCATTGAAACTGAAACTCCTCCCTTTCTCTGCCTGCGTTTGTCTGGCTGTGGACTTATTCCCTAGGTTTAAGCAAACTCCCACAAAATTACATTCTCATATTGTGCCCTGGCACAGATATCTTGCAGATTTAACTAAATTCCAGCAATCCTATGGGGCAGGTGGAGAGGCAGTAAAATGTTTTCTACAATGTGGCTTCCTGAAACAGCCTGACTGGGATAGGGCACTCACTGCTGGGTAGAGTAAAAGGTGGGGCGGGGGGTGAATGTGCAGACAAGGTGGATTTGCTGATGGCCCGAATGGCTTGCTTCCACACTGTAGGGATTCTATGATTCTATGTCTCTTCTATGGCCCTCTAAGTTTAGAATAAGAGGTCTAAATGGAAGACATCTTTACCCATATCCAGCAAGAAAACCCAGACTCGAGGGGCTGACTTTGTCATTGAAGATGATGAGCTTCATGTTGCTGCAGCCCTGGCTAGGCCACTGTGGGTCACACTCCTTGACGTTCCACCACCTCAGCTTTTCGTGTGATGTGGTGCATGCCCTGAGCTCTTCCTCCATCTGCAGCGAGATGTTCCTGAACAGGGCCAGCCTTTCTTTGTCACCACTGGGAAAACCTGCAACCATCGTGGAAGCAAAACACACCGCGTCAGTCAGTCCTTCCTGAGAGTAGAACCTCACACAGGATCACAAGTTATACTGCAGAAACGGGCCATTCTACAAATCCCATTCTATTGGTCTTTCCCTGGAATGCTGCAACCTTTTTTTTTTAAATTTTAGGAGCTTACCTGATTCCCTTTTAAAATCTACAATTGCATCTGCCACAGTCACAATTCAGATCATATCCACTCACTGTATGGTCAAGCCTTTTTCTCATCATGGTTCATTTGTGAATCACCTTAAATCTCTGCTGTCTGGTTTGTTACCCCTCTGCCAAAGCAGACAGTTTCCTTCATCCCTGGAACCATTTCCAAGTCAGGATGGTTAGTGGCTTGGAGGGGAGGCAAGTGGGGAGTATTCCATAACACTCCTGACTTCTGCCTTGTAGATGGTGAACAGACTTTGGGGAGTCAGGAGGTGAGTTACTCGCTGCAGGATTCCTAGCCTCTGACCTGCTGTCGAAGCCACTGTATTTATGTGGCTAGTCCAGTTCAGTTTCTGGGATGTGGAGAATTAAGCAATAGGAATGTGACCAAATGTCAAGAGGCAATGATTAGATTCTCCGTGTTGGAAATGGTCATTACCCTGATACTTGTGTGGTGTGAATGTTACTTGCCACTTGTCAGCCCAAGCCTGGATATTGTCGAAATCATGTTGCATTTGAACATGGACTGCTTCAGTATCTGAAGAGCTGCAAATTGTGCTGAACATTTTGCAATCATTGACAAACATCCCCACTTTTGGCCTTATGATAGAGGGAAGATCATTGATGAAGCAACTGAAGATGGTTAGAACTAGGACACTAGTTCAAGCAAATCCCGCAGAGATGTCCTGGAGCTGAGATGATTGACCTCCAACAACCACAACCATCTTCCTATGTGTCAAATATTACTCACGCCAGCAGAGAGTTTGCCCCCTGATTTCCAATGATTCGGCTTTGCTCAGGCTCCTTGATATCACAATCAGTCAAAGGTAACCTTGATGTGAAGGGGAGTTAGTCACTCTCACCTCAGTAGACTCGCAGCAAATTTACACAATACTGAGTTCCAAATTAATACCCTGTGTTGAGAAAGCTTGAGTAGAAATCCTCAGAATACACAACATATTACAGTATCCCACTAATGAAAAATCTACCTCCTCCTTACATTTCCACCACACTCTGGGGAAGTGAATTCCACATATTTCACTACCCTTTAAGAGAAGTAATTCCTCCTCATCTCTGTTTTAAATCTGCTATCACTTCGTTTAAAACTATGTCCTCTCATTCCAGGTTGACCCACACGTGAGGAAACAGCCTTTCTATGTCAACTTTTGTCAATCCCCTTTACCATCTTATAGACTTCAATGATATTTCCTCTCATTCCTCTAGACTCCAGAGAGTATAGGCCTAATCTGTTCAAACAAACCACTCATCTTTGGAATCAATGTAGTGAAGTTCCGCTGAACTGCCTCCAACATATCTCCCTCAAGTAAGCAACACTCTAGGTGTGCTCTCACTGATAAGAATGGACTTAGGAGGGTGATTTTTGTTTTCTTTTAGATCTTAACAATCAAACAGAAGAAAAACAATCTTAAAATTCAACACAAATTACATTTATATAGCACCCGTAATATAGAAACTATCTCAAGGTGCTTCACAGGAACAGTAAAATTTTACACTGAGTCAGGCATGAGTGACAAGTGACTGAAATTAGTATTTTTTTAAGAAAGGTGAGGGGTTTAGGAAGGGAATTTGGACTTTAGGGTCAAGTTTGGGGCTAACGGAGAAGGATGTACTCCTGCTCCAGTTACTACTGTTCCCCTCCGTTACTCACATGAAGGGTTAACCCCCTCCTCAGTAAAATCCATTGGTAAGCGAAAGTGGGCTTTATTGTGTGCACAACAACTGCTGATGGTCACAGTACAACACAGTCCAGTGACACCATGGGCAGGCTCATCCCAGTCAATCAGGTCTCCACGTCCATCCCTTATACACACAACACATAACTGTTGAGTTTTCACTGCAGAAGACCCCCAGTTAATTGTCCTATGTCTACACTCACTTGTTTGGAGTCGGAAAGCTGGCGTCGCTTCAGTTCGACGTGTCGCTCGAATGTATTTTGGGAGCAATTCCTTGATTACCCTGAAATGAGAGAGGATAGTTATTATTCCTCGTCAGCAATGTTGTGTGAAGCGGGGTGGGGAGTGGTGGTGGCAGTGAGTGTAAAACCCGTGACGTGCAGCAGACAGCTGGCATGGGCATCTTTACAACCATATGGCAACTGACCATGTGACTAACTGCATTGACCTGTGGAAGGGTGGGCTACCCTCTTGGTCAATTTTTGTGCCAGCAAGAACCAGGATGCAACTCCTGAGTGGGTGAGGAGGGAGAGGGAAGGGAGAGTGGGAGAGAGGGGAGGGAGAGGCCAAAGCAAGGAGGAAATAGGGGCAGGAGAGGGGAAGCAAGGACATGGGAAGTGATGGTAGGGAAGGGAAACCAAAGAGAGAAAAGAATGTAGGGGCAGGTAAGGATAGTGGAGGAGGACATAGGGTAGAGTGTAAGTGGGGAGGGGAAAGCAAGACAGCTGGGAGAAGTGAAGATGTGTGAGCAAGAAGTTGGGATAGGCAGAGGGGGTGTCAGTGTGGGAATAGGGGAGTATAGGGCAGGGGAGTATGGGGTGGAGAGTACTGGGTGGGGGAGAGGATAGTGAGGATGGGTGAAAGGGAGAGGTGGATGCAGTGGGAGGAAGTGAGACTGGAGGAGTGGGGAGGTGAGAGTGTAGTAGGGAACTGAAGGTAGGTGATGCCGTTCTGTCTGAATCCTCAGTGCCGGGATTTCCTGAAGAAAGCCTCAGGATTTCTCATCTTTCTGACTCTGTCCAGTCTAAAAGCTCATGGCTCTCTGTGATGTTGCTGAGTCTGCAGCTTTCACAGTCCTGGGTCTCCATGAATGATGAGGAAGATTGAATCAGCAGCATCAAACCCTTTCAGTTCTGAAGCCCAATGTTCCGTGACTTCTGCCCAACACATCTCACAACTCTATTCAATCTGCCCCCCAACTCTCTCTCTCCAGGCATCTGACATCGTCCTCTGTGCAGCCAACACAAACCCTCTTCCTCATTGTCTTGCTATCTCAATTCTACACCATGCTATTCACCCTCATTTTTGTCCTCGCCTCCTCTCCACACAGGTGTTCAGAACTCTTTGCTTTCTCTCCCCCCAGGAACACATGCCACACAACCTCAGGGAGAGGAGAACACCCAAGAAGGGGAAAGTGTAAAAACGGAAAGAACTGTGGATGCTGTAAATCAGGAGCAAAAACAAAAGTTGCTGGAAAAGCTCAGCAGGTCTGGCAGCGTCTGTGAAGGAAAAAAATCAGAGTTAACGTCTGGTGACCCTTCCTCTGGACTGGGGAAACGTGGGGAAAGTGTGTTCCCCTCCAGCGATAAATGTCTTGATGGCCGCTGGCAGTGAACATGCAGCTGCTCCAGCGAGAAGTCAGCAGTAAACAGCCTTTTGAGGCACTGCTGCAGAGATAGGTCCAGGGAGCTGATCCACTTGGGCATGTGTCAAGGTCTCAGCCCATTCCAGTTGGATCCCTGTACCTGCCTGAAGGTGCTGCAGTTGGTCTGCTTTTCGTCTTCATCAGTGGAGCTCCATAAGCTGCTTCCAGGCTGTGGTGGAGACGGGCACCAGGGAAATGCAGCTGGAAGTGAGTGAAGTACAAAAAAAGGGAAGTAGTTTCACAAGATATAGCAATTACCTGACTAGTACTGACAGCAGTGTGTGTGCAGCCTCTTACCTGGCCATAGCCACAGCTCTTCAGCGTAATTAACAAAAGGCTTCCCAGTCTGTCAAGTGTCACTGAACAAACACTAACCTGTTGGACACTCACTTCAGTTACACAGCTCAGGGAAATTAATACAATGGTGTTAAAGCCAGATGCATGGTTCAAGAGATACAATTGTCAGTTTATACAATCTAGTTATCTCTCTGAAAATCCCAGGGAGATCCCCACCCACTTAAAAACCTGCCTGGTTAAATCTGAAAACAGGTGAGATAATGTTGGGATCCTGATCCTCGTTTTTAAGGGATTTAGCTCCCTACACACACCAAACCCTGCTTCCTTTTGCCTGGAAAGGTCCCTTCAGTGAAGCTGAAGCAAACAATTTGGTTTGAGATGGGATTTGTACCTAAACCTGACCATGACAAAGACAGCAATGATGGTACATACACTGATTTCTCACGTGTCCCTTCCAGCAGCTGAACAAGCTCCTCTCTCACTTCCCTGTCTGTACAGACCACTGTGTGTTCACCAAATGCTTCGGGATTCATCAGCAGGGAAGCATTCCTGTAGGGACATGAGAAACAAGCATCAGCGGCTGATTCATAAATGCAACTGAAACATACAGATTGGAAATTCTTCTTGTTCCAGACAATCAGCCACTGAGGAGTTGTACACCCTGAATAAACACACCAATATCACAATGTCCGCATGTGTCTCAGATCTCTGCTTCATGTCATACATAAAGGGAAATGAAGGAACCAAAGTATACATTTACAATACGTGTATGTGCAGGACATATTTTATCTGTGATCCAGGTACAAATGAGATATTGTTGTATAGATATACCATTGGTTAGATACAAAGCAAAACTCTCAGTCCCTATCAAACACAGCCAGGACAGGTACAGTACAGGCCAAAGCTGCCTCTACTCTTCTGAACTGAACATAAACCTTCCTCAATACTGTCCCCATCTAACACTCCCAGGACAGGGACAGCACAGGGTTAGTTACAGGGTAAAACTTCATCTACTATAGAGTACCTATCCAAATGTTTTTAAAATGGTGCTATTGTACCTGCCTCAACCACTTCCTCTGGCAGCCTGTTCCATATACGCACCACTCTCTGCGTGAAGAAGTTGCCCTTCAGGTCCTTTTTAAGTCTTTCTCCTCTCACCCTAAACCTATGCCCTCTGGTTTTCAATTCCCCATCATAAGGTCACCCCTCATTCTCCTACATTCGAAGGAATAAAGTCCCATCTTGGCTAACTCTCCCTATAACTCAGGCCTACTAGTTCTGGCAACATCCGTGTAAACCTTCTTGAACTAAAAGTAATCCGAAAGTAAAGCTCACTCAACATTGTCCCCATTAAATACTCCCAGCGCAGAGTTAGTTACAAAGTAAAGCTCCCTCTATACTGTCCCCCATCAAACACTCCCAGGACAGGGGTTAGAAAGAGACGGTAAATTTTCCCTTCATCGATGTTTATGGCAAGCTGCAACTTTAAAAGATCATTGTCTGTACCTTGGAAGAGTTTTCAGTTTCAGGAACTGGCCTGAAAACAGAAAATGCTGGAAAACACAGTGGATCAGGCAGCATCCATGGAGAAAGAGCAAGCTAACGTTTTGAGTTTAGATTACTCTTCATCAGGAACTGGCCAGTGTGCCCATCAGGTTATTTTAATGCCAAACTGGGCTTGCTTCCAGGCCCTTGTGCCTGCGTGTAACTGGTCTCTCTGGAGCTGTGGCTCAGGGCTATTTGCTTTCCTGTGTACAAAGCCTGAGATTTCAATTGAATTCTTCACCTCAAAGCTTCATTTGATTCTGTTTCACTGAAGTAACAGGTGGTGATTTTCCCAATTTTACGCTACACAGTGTACCTCAGAATGGTCCATTGGAGATGTACGTAAATCTGTGAAGAATTGGCAATTTCTTCTTTCATTGCCTTGAGACTGGCCGGACTAATGCTCCACAGCAGGTTTGCGTCACTCTTGATGTGAGCCACAATGATGTCTTCTGGCATGTAGTTAACTAAAAACTGCATTGCAGACTGTGGAAATAGAAAATAGTGAATACATTCTGAACGTTTTTATAACACTTCTAAAAATTTATCTTCATTTTCTGTGCATTCGTCTGCCATTAGTTTTCATTTTCACTGCTATCCTCCTCTTCCTCCCACACTCTGTTCTGAGCAAGAACCCTTCTCTCTCTTTCCCTAAGGTTCTCAGCTCAGGTTCGCTTCTCTGCCTCCTCTTTCTGCAGGCTCCCTCCCTCCTTCACTGCCTTACTTTGTGTGTGTACCCTACAATATGCTCAAAGGATTAAACTTCTGTGAAAAAGACTGTCATTGTTTTGCTCCTGTCAGGGTGAGGCGTTTTGTCAGGAATGATACTTTGGGAAGTCAATGTCTTTAAGTACTCAGTGAAGGTTGAATCTTGTTTAATTTCTGCCCTCTCGGATAAGGGTCGCTCCACACTGTCTTCACCAAATATTTCAAGGACAGGTATGGCATGGGGTTAGATAGACAGAGTGAATTTTATCTTACATTGGCTGATGCACATAGCACAGCTTTAGAACTGGAGCCAATATTTGTACCTTTCTAAGCTTTTATTTGCAGAGACAAAAACTATACACCTCCTCAACTAAGAACCACACTGTCAGCTTGTTCCTGCTTGGGCAACAAGTGAATGCCAGTTTGTTCCCAACTCCAGCAAACAGCAGCAGATGGCCTATCCACTGTCCCACAACAGCACCCAGAACCCTCAGCATTCTTAATTCCTGCTGCAGTTGAACTGGGCTCAGTCTTTGCCTTGATTCTCGCACGCTACAGTCTCTCTGTCCAAGAATGCCATCATTTTCATGTCACTTCCTGCAGCTACACTCATACCAGATGCCAGTTTATGTCATTGTTGTGATATCATTGATAATATTCCTTGAGACTGGCTTTTCTACTTTGAGGTACCTTCTTTGTTTGGTTAGTATTTAATTTGACTGGGATTGGCTCATTAAGTAGTCCTAGATAAGTTGTAAATGGCAGTCAATGTGATCCTGTCTGGGAGATGTGGGTGGATTAGACTGGAGAGGGGCTTGAGTCACCTCTTGTAGTTTATGATCCTCTGCAGAACCCAAAGCTTTTGAACTGGGGCATAGTGACTGACAGTTCCTTCTCAAAGTCACCACCTCTTGGGTTCAAGCCCCATTCTTTACTACTGAGTGTATGCTGCACTGTCTGAGGTATCATCTTTCAGAAGACATTCTGAGGCTGCGTCAGGTGGATATAAATCCTTCAACCTCCATCTCAACAAGTGGGGAGCAGTTCTCCCCAGCATCACATTTATCCCCCACAGCAACATCACAGAAATAGATTGTCTGGCCATTTATCACACTGCCATTTGTGGGAGCTTACTGTGCACAAAATTGTCTGACTGTTTCTAAATTGTAATAGTGCCATATCAATGTAATTAGTTTCCCTTTCCCTTTCCCTTTAAGTACCTTTAAGTAATAAGGTATCAATCTTTAACTATTTAAATGGTGAGTCTAAAGAGGAGTATTTCCACTGGATCAATGCTGGGACAGTAATCTTTCTCATCTGATGTAAGAAAGGAGCAGCTTGTTGGGCCTTTTACATTTATTCACAGAACATCTTTGAGACCAACAAAGGTTGTGTTTATTTCCCACCTCACTCACTGTCCTAAGCACCAACCACATGAACCAGACTGAGGTGGCAGTTCCTTTCTCCTGGAGGATATCATAAAATCAACATGGACTTACAACCTTCCAGGATCATATCAGTGTACCACTCAGTGCCTGCTGCACTATCACAGAGAGCCCTGTCCTCTCTCGGTTTCAGTGCAGGTCTGAGTGTAGTCTGCTGTAATGTCCTGCTCTCTGTTGATTGGATGCGGGAAAAGATCTCATTTTGCTTTTTGAAGAAGAGAAACACCTTGGTGTCCTGGCCAACATTTAAACTTTTATTAACGTCACTGTAAACAGCTGCTCCTATCATTGTACTCATTGCTGTTTGTGGGATCTTGCTGTGCTCAAACGGGCTGCCATATTTCCTACAGTACAACTTCACTACATTTCATGAATATTCCATTGGCTGTAAAGCTCTGTGTGCTTTCCTGAGCTTCTGAGAGGCACTACATCAATTTATTGTTATTTATTTTGAGAATCAGTCCTCTGTAGACTATCATTTCCCAAAGTCATTTCACAACTTGTCAGGGTAGAGGATATAACCCACAACCATTAGATTCGCTGATGCGGTAACATCACTGACTGGCATCCTCTCACAGACACCCGCCTTTACCATGTTGGTGCCCAACACATCCATCACAACTGTGTTCTCGGTTCTGCCCCCTTCACCTCCCCTCTTGCAACCTCCCCACATTCTCACCCCATTCTCACCCCATTCCCATCCCTCACTCCAACTCCCAACCTCCCCACATTCTCATACCCCCCATTCCCACCCCGCACTCCAACTCCCAACCTCCCCACATTCTCATTCCCCCCCCCATTTCCACCCCACACTCCAACTCCCAACCTCCCCACATTCTCATTCCCCCC